AGAAAATTTCCATAGTGGAGGTGACTGGCATCAGACAAGATGGGTGAGCTTTAATCATGTGATAAGAGAAACACAAAGAGAAAACCCCAGGAGAGAGAGGTTCAAAGGCAGTGTTTGAAAGCCTGCCGCCAGGGGCTCAGGCCTGTAATCCTAGCTATTCAAGAGGCTGAGATATGAGGATCGAGGTTCAAAGCGAGCCAGGGCAGGAGAGACCGTGAGACTCCTATCTCCAATAAACCACCAGAAAACCGGAAGTGGCGCTGTAGCTCAAGTGCTAGTCTTGAGCTGAAGAGCTGAGGGACAGCGCCCAGGCCCAGAGTTCAAGCCTCACGACGAAAAAACAAAAAAAAGAGTCTCACAGACTTTCCTGCCTGGGCTGGCTTTGAACCGTGATCCTCAGATCTCAGCCTCCTGAGTAGCTAGGATTACAGGCATGAGCCACTAGTGCCTGGCTTGATACTGTTTTTTTATCTGTAAAGTGGAGAAATGAAAGCTATGCTGTGACTGGCTATCTGGTGGCTCACACCAGGAATCTTCCCTACTCAAAAGTTGAGATTTGAGAATCCTGGTTTGTAACCAGTCTGAACAGACAAATCCTAGAGAGTCTTTTTTTTTTTTTTTGGTAGGTCGTGGGACTTAAACTCTGGGTTTGAGTGCTGTCCCTCAGCTCTTTAGCTCTAGACTAGTGCTCTACCACTGGAGCCACAGCACCACTTCCAGCTTTTGCTGCTTATGTGGTACTGAGGAATTGAATCCAGGGCCTCATGCCTCTACCACTGAGCCACCTTCCCAGCCCTCCCCCCTCCCAGATTTTTATCTTTAGCAAAAAGCTAGAAATGGAGGTGTGGCTTTAGTCTGAGTGGAAAAAGCTGAGCAAGAGCTTGAGGCCCTCAGATCAAGCTGCGGGACCATAAAAATAAATAGGGAATATGGCTTAGTGGTAGAATGCTTGCTTAGCATTCATGAAGTCCTGGATTCAATTCCTCAGTACCACATACACAGAAAAAGCCAGAAGTGGTGCTGTGGCTCAAGTGGTGGAGTGCTAGCCCTGAGTACAGAGAAGCTCAGGGACAGAGCCCAGGCCCTGAGTTTAAACCCCAGGACCAGAACAACAAATAAACATAGGGATAATGAGAAAAAGGCAGCTGGGTGCCTGTGGTGGTGACTCACACCTGTACTCAGGAGGCTGAGATCTGAGGATACGGTTCAAAGCCAGCCCAGGCAGGAAAGTCCATGAGACTCTTTTCTCCAATTAACCAATAGAAAACTGCTAATGGAGTTGTGACTCGAGTGGTAGAGCACTGATCTTGAGCTGGAGAGCTGAGGGTCAGTGCCCAGGCCAAGTTCAAGCCCCACAAACCAAAAAAAGAAAGAAAGAAAAAACATAAATACAAAGAAAGGCTCAGTCAACAGAGCTACATGAATCCATCCCATGGTGTTATCATTCAATCCCTGTTTTGATTGATGAGCCGTTCTGCCAGTCTGGAATATGGCCATAAACAAAGCCCAACCTAAATCTCAGCCTAAAGGATGACAGCAATACTAAGACTGCCAGGTACATTCAAGGAATAGGGAGGAGGCAAGTGTGGCCTGGGTGGAAAGTAAAAAGGAAGAGCTGCGGGAGATGAACTCAGAGGAGATGGGTGGAGGCGAATAAGCTTGCCTTGGGTTGAAGGAGCCTAGATGCTATGCAACCTCCCTCCATAAACACCCTCCTCTTCTCCCCACTCCAGCTCTCCCCTCCTAGGTGAGTCACTGGGGCTAGAAACGCCAGGTGTGACTGTGACCAAGTTTCTTAAGCACAGGCTCTGGGTCTGAGCCTCTGCCTGGGGGTTTTGTTTAAGGTCTGTGGAGAAAACCCCTCCGGCTTCCTCTCAATGAAGATCTGTGTGAAGTCAGTGCAGCTCATGGAACCCAGCAACTGCAACTCTCCTTCCAGGTCTGGGTCATCTTTATGTCCTGGTGCTGTTGCTGTGAGCCAAGCTGGGACGTCACATGGTACATGCTCACTGAAGATCCCCCTCAGTTACTCTTACTCCACGTTGAACAGGAAGGCCTCAATTCTTCCTTGCCTCTGGGCTGCCTGGGGTCTTCTTTGAAGTTCAGTTAGATCATTGTAGGTTTGGATTTGCTTTGAACTGATTCACCATTTTGGCTTTTCAGGTCTGAGAGGGAAGCTGCAAGAGAACTGGAATGCAGTTCATGATTCCCTGAAAAAAAAAAACAAAACGAACACAGAGTTCAGTTCAGAGTCCAGCCAGTCAGTTCAGTTTGTTTTAACTTCAAGTCCCCAACTAAGGGGGCAGCCTTCTAGCATTTATGAATTTTCAACAAGCTTTCTAGATAAAGAAAGGAAATCGGGTTCTAAAGTTTGCAAGGACATTGCTGGGCCAAGATGGGAGATGAAAGCTGAGTGTGTGGTGCAAGTCTGTAACCTAGCAACTTGAGAGAAGAGATGGGACTTCGAGGTTTGAGGCCAGCCCAGGCATAAAAATTCAGGAGACTCCATCTCAATCAGTGGCTGGGTCTAGCAGGACAAGCCTGCTATTCAACTTACGGAGGGAGCAGAAGAGCTGGGTGCATTAGTGAGCCCCTGTCATCCTACATACAAAGGGAAGCAAAATGTAGAAGGATCACAGCTGCCTTTGGTCCACACTAGCCTGCCACCAAAAGTGGGATTCTATCTGAAAAATAACCAAGGCCAACAGGGAATGAGGTTGTGGCTCAAGTGGTCGAATGTCACGCAAGAGGCTGAGTTCAATTCCCAATACTACCAAAAGGAAAAAAAAAAAAAAGGAAGAAATAAAAAAAGATGGGGCCAGGGCTGGGAAGGTAGCTCAGTGGTAGAGCGCTTGCCTTGCATGCTTGAGGCCCTGGGTTCGATTCCTCAGCACCACATAAGCAGAAAAAAAAGCTGGAAGTGGTGCTGTGGCTCAAGTGGTAGAGCGCTAGCCATGAGCTGAAGAGTTGAGGGACAGCGCCCAGGCCCAGAGTTCAGGCCCCACGACTGGACCCCGCCCCCCCCAAAAAAAGACACAGCAACCAAACTAGAAAGACAGCCAACTAATAACTGGAAAAAAATAGTCACCAGCAATATATCAGATAAGGAGTTAATATCCAGTATACTCAGGGAACTCAAGAAACTAATCCCTCCCAAACTTAACAAACCAATTATTAAATGGGCAAGGGAACTAAAGCAAAACTTCTCAGAAGAGGTAAAATGGCAAAGAAGGGCTGGGAAGGTGGCTCAGTGGTAGAGCACTTGCCTTGCATGGGTGAAGCCTGGTTCGATTCCTCAGCACCACATAAGCAGAAAAAGAAAAAAGCCAGAAGTGGGCTGTGGCTCAAGTGGTAGAGCGCTAGCCTTGAGCTGAAGAGCTGAGGGACAGCGCCCAGGCCCAGGCCCCACGACTGGACCCCCCCCCCAAAAAAAAAGATGGGGCCAGGTGCCTGTGGTCTTGCCTCCCAGGGTCCTAGCTCCTTAGGAGGCAGAAATCTGAAAGTCATAGTGCTAAGCCTGTCTATGAGACTGATTTCCAATTAACCACTAAAAAGCCGGAAGTGGAGCTGTGGGCTCAACTGGTGGAAAAACCAGTCCTGAATGAAAAAGCCCAGTCCCTGCATTTTACTCCAGAGCCTGTGTCCACGGTCCTTCTAACAGAGTCCCTGTGGGAAAATCTGAGCGACAGGCTTTGGGGCAGAGGAAAAAGAAATGTTGCAGGTTTCACTGCACTTCCATTACCCATTTGATTTATTCTGGAAGATGCTAAGCCAGGATGTGGAGACAAACTCCCCCCCCCCCACCCCTGGCCCCGTATTGGCCCTGCTGGAATTCACACATCAACCCAGGAAATGGAGCACACGTCTGTGAATCAAATATTGGGGAAAGATGAGGAAGGACACAGAAGGCTTCCTGAGGAGGGGTGTGGGGGGAACCGGCGGACAATCCACCCAGGCAGCCAGCAGTGGCAGAACCGGCTTGGGGTGCTCAGTTAGCACTGCTGCGGGGGGGGGGGCAGGAACCAAGCCCAAGGCCCTAAGACCTGGTGGAGGGGGCGCCTCGTCAGAACTCCCGAGAAAGGAGGGCAGGGGGCCGCACCAGCTGGTGGTCCACAGAGGCTGGGGGGGGGCAGCCCTGAATCGGGGGCCGGGGGGAGACGGCAGGGTGGGGAAGGGCAGGGATCCTAGCTCAGTGTGTGCTGGCTTCCCATATGGAAGCGATCGGAGAGGAGGAAGAAGGAAAAGATACTTTGGAAGGAGACACAAACTTTCGGGAAAGTTTTCCTGACCAAGGCAGCCCTCCCTCCCCACTTTCCTCGAGACAGGGAGCCGGGCAGGCGGCCCCTGCAGTCCAGGGCGGTGGATGAGTCCAGGGGCTGCAGCCCCGGAGAGGGCGGGAGGCGCCCGCCGGCCTCGGGCGGGCGGAGGCATGAGGTCACCTGGCACCGAACCAGCAACAGCTGCGGAGGACTCGCGGGCGCAGCGGAGGGAGGCGGTGTCAGGCTCCGGCTCCCGGGGAAATTTCCCTCCGGACCCCCCCGGAGGCGTGGCTTACAGCCCCGCCCGCCACGCTGGGAGCCGGCCTGCCTAGCGCCCCACCGAGGCCACGCCCCCTCCGCAACCTCCCCGGCGCCTGAACGGTCCCCTCCGAATTCCCTCCCCCCCACCTCCCCCCGCCAACTGGCGCCGGAGCAGTCCCTCCGCTTCCCTCGCCCTAGGCCACGCCCTCGGCTCTCAGGCACGCCCATTTCCTCGGGAGAGTCCCGCCGCGCCCCGGGCCTTGGCCCCGCCCCCACAAGGCCCCGCCCCCGCCACGCCCCACCGTTTTTGAAGCGTCTCGGAGCGCCGCTGCCGCCTCAGAGTCGCGCGCGGACCGTGGGGCGGTACGGAGGCGTGGAGGCCGCGGCCAGCTCGACGCCCGGACTGTCCAGCGAGCGCAGCGCAGGAGCCCGCAGCCCGAGCAGCCCCGGAGCCGCAGCCGCAGCCGCGCCGAGCCTACCATGGCGTTGTCGATGCCGCTGAACGGGCTGAAGGAGGAGGACAAAGAGCCCCTCATCGAGCTCTTCGTCAAGGTGAGCCAGCGCCCGCCGCCGTCCCGCCCGGCCGAGCCCCGCGCGTCCGCCCG